GTGATGTGACTGACATCAATGGTCATTATTCCGTCCGAACAGTATGTGAAATGAGTAATTTTGAGAGTAATTTTAATTAATCTCTTCATTTATAGTAAAGATGGATAGTGACTAGCAGTGGAATCCAGGATGCGCATTTCATTCTATTTGGGACTCGTCAGCTGGATGTACCTACTTCCAGTGAGTGATGTTGTTCCCAACGGGACTCAGATTCGGGGGTGATCGCTTCAAACGCCAAAGCGTTGTCCACTACAACACCGAGCCATCCTTACCATAGCTATAACACAGGTAAATCGAGGCATCCGCACAGAATCCTATATGCCAATAGAGACCGATCAATTCGGTCCAATCAGTGACGGTATAATACAAGCAATAACACTAATCTCTCCATTTATTGGAATATTTTTAGTCGACGATGTCATGATAACCTTATATGGCAACCATCCCAGATAACAGCAGTCCTAAATTAGGTTTTGCTCCCACAATCAGTTACATTAGAACAAATATATTTAATCCAATCATTAGTACTATCCACTATAATGGTAGGGATGCCCATTAGAAAATTTACAAAAGAACCAACTGTACCTCATTTCTTCCCTTGTGGATGCAGTATCAAGATAGTGTTGCTTCTCACTTACTGTGTGGTAAAATAAACAACCTACTGTGAGAGATATTTATTGCTAGATAAAATGTCAGGGTTATGAACATTTGTCCTCGGTATTTAGCATATCAGTTATTTATTTATTATTATTAGTCCCTTGGGTTCCTAATGGAACATAGGGCTTCAGTAGCACGTCTCCAGTGCACCCTCTTCTCCGAAGTCTTTTGAAACTGGTTCCACGACAGCCCACAACCTCTCACTTCATCCTCGCACGATCTCCTCCATGTCACCTTCGGACGCCCAACTCGTCGTTTCCCATCTGGGTTCCACTCAAGTAACTGGCCTAGTGCGTGATGTCCCCAGTCGGCCTTCTCAGTGCATGCCCAATCCAACTCCACTTTCTCCTGCATATTTGTTGCGTGATAGGTTCTTGGTTGGTTCGTTCCCAGAACTCCTTGTTGCTTATTATTTCTGGCAATCCATCTGATCTTCAGTAGCGAGAGAGCGTAAGCAGTTGTTGATGAATGTCTGTAGTTTATAGGAAATCTCTTTCGTGACGCGCCAAGTCTCTTAACCATACAGAAGCACTGACTTGACGTTGGTGTTGAAAATCCGGATCTTGTTCACGCTTTGTGCTGAGTGCAGAAGATATCCACACTGGTTTCAGGCTAATGAACACCTGTCTTGCTTTTCCGATTCTGGCTGACTTTGATATCCTCGTCTGTGCCTGTGCCGCCTGTAGTTGAAACAGTGCTGCTCTGCCTAGATAGGTGAAGGAGGTTACTTCCTTTAAGTTTCTCCGTTGATCGTGACTGCAGTCTGTTGTTGTTGGAGTTGTTGGTGCGGTATCTTCATCACTTCTGTCTTCTCTATATTCACTTGAAGTCCCGTCTTCCCTCCCTGCCTCTTCTGTCAACTTCTTAGTTTTCGCCTGTAGATCTTCAAGTTTGTGTGACATCAGGCACAAGTCATCGGTGAAATCCAGATCTTCTAGGTTCTTTTCCTCTGTCCAGCCAGCGTATCCCCTCTTCTCGCTCCCCACTGTTTGTTTTGCAAAAAATCTCAATATGCCAGGAATCGATAGAAAACGCGTTAGGATACAAATTATTAGAATCAAAATACTCAGATACATACCAGATTAGGTATAATTACATCTTTCAACTTATCCACATTTATTCCCTTTTCTTTAATCACATGATAATCATAAGTCATGTGTTTGGCCATATGTTCAAGGATTTGTGCTAGTTCCATGTTTCTGGGTTATTTATTCATTGGCATTTAATCAATCAGTGTTGAATGTAAAATATGAACCCTTATATTTTTTATTATATGTGAGATTGGTTGAAACTCAAGGAACTTTTCAAGTATAACTCACATTTCCAGTGTACGAAATCATCATAGGGTCAGATAACCCTGGTCGCTTATTTCACAAGTTATATTTTATGAATAACGGGTAGATAAGAAGTAATCATTAGGAAAGATGATGATGTACTTAATTTTCCATGCATTGAAATGCAGATGTGATCAATGACTGTTAGCACGTCAGTCTTGTCCAAACGAACCAACTTATTTGATTATATGCAATAAATGAACTTTACGGGGCATATATTATATCTCCCTTGAAGTTCGATAAGTCTTGTGCAAAACACAGGTTGCACGAAGTCACAAAGTTAAAAACCAGAACAGTACATCAATTCATTAAATAACTGATTGTTGCTCTGAGCCTTGTAAAGCAAAGAAGGCTCTTGGATCTGAATCTGTAAGATATCGATTAAAGTTATCTCGTAAGACATAGCTTAGACTCGATCACAAAGGTCATAACTAAAAGAACTGGGAAAATCTATTAAATAGACTCACTAAGTTTTCAAGCTTGCATAAATAAACTCGATATTCCGAGAAGAGATCCATCACAGTGTGTGAAAAAATTGCTCATATCCTCTTATGAAGACGTATAACCCTGAAGCTTTTCACAATCAATTCTGTTGCTTCAAAGTCATGAGAAAAAGCACTTGAACCGAAGTATATATATATATATATATATATATATATATATATATATATATATAGCTGAAGATTAAACACGATTTTCCATGATTTTTTTCTAAATAAAGTGACTGAATGGCTAAATGATGGTGTGTATGCCTTACAAAAACGTTTATCATTTGACTGTCTGAGATAGTCGTAGTTTGGCAGACTAGTATTTGTACTGGGTGATGAATGAAGGTGAAATGAAAATCTGGACCGCGGTCGGATTCGAAATAGCGACCACCGGGCTGGTAACCGAGCAACGTTCAATCATTACCCATTATGAAAATGTGTAAAGAAGTTATAAATGCAATGAAATACAACAGTTTATAGTACCTTACTGTCGAATTCAAATATCCTAGTAAATAAAAAAACATTGTCATTTCAAAGAACACTTCTAGAAAAAGATGATGTAACTCGTACTAAATAAGTACTCTGTAATCAACTTCTTAAGCAGTTATCTTACACCAGGAAGTTGCGCATTATTTTTAACACATTTCTTTTTACATGTGTTAGTAAAATTAATTTCACTTTTCTAAAAATCATATGATTTTGCAACAAGTTATCAAACCATTTATCCTACAGTTGTATTCACTCGAAAAAAGGAATAAATATAATTTACGCAACAAAATCTTAGCACTGTTTACTGGCATACCGGTGTAACTTATACGCTTTCATACCTTATTGATAAAATTATTGTGTGATTTAATAAGAAAAGCTGGTTGGAATGTTTCTTCAGGAATTTGTAATTGACAGAGCTTTTTTCGGAAATGTGACATCGTAAAACAATCACGTGATAGTTATCTTGGTAAGACACTATGAGATAAATAAATGTACAACCATAAAACAAACATGTTGAACCAAATATGGCATGATAATGAATAAAGAAGGAACGAGAAACTAAGAAACCCTTAGGAATGAAGCTTAAAGGTTGTCTTTCAGTAGCCATCATGTGTGTATCAGACCATGTTAGTCTAACCTTTCAGTCGATGATGAGCTTTTGACAAAAATGCATGGAAAGCCATCCTTCAGAAAAAACAGCCTCAGACAGATTTTATCCTACATCCACAAGGCGGGTAAACTGCACCATATCTCCGCTCTACTGAAAACTATTTGTATGTGTCTTGATTATTACATAGACACAAAAGACACAATACTAAGGATAGGTAGAATGCGAACTACAAAATTATTAGTGATAACTGTACTATAACATTACATACTACGCAGTGGCCCTCTACTTCGTTTTTATTGGTACGAATATCACCTAGTATTACGCCGGTTGTTCGCTCATCATATGGCGAAAATAAATGCAACCGGGAAATTTTAGAACTACCGGTGTTCCCTATGTTGCCACTTAAGATTATTGTGGTGTAACCGACATTAGTGGTCATTATTCTATTAAAAGAATGAGTGAAATAAGTAATTTTGACAGCAATTTTAACGATTACATCTTGAATTTTGCAACATTTTGAATCTAGATTGCCACACTAAGTTAACATGGTAACATCAAGGACATCGGCAGTGAATTTAAGATAAGAGAAACACAAAGACTACAACATCACTCACTCACTACATCCAGCTGACGAATCCTAAATACGACGAAACATGCGCCCCGGGCCCCACCGCTGGTCGGCAGGATGAATATAACAATATAAACATCTGACAGGATCAAAGTATTCACATAGGAGCCCATCTGCCAACATAAGTCGACCAGTTCGGCTCTGTATAACAAAGGGAAATTACAAGTATCAAAACAACTTATACCCGTTGCACAAGTGGAGGCTATCATGCCCCAGTGGCCTAATGGGTAACACTTTGACATTCGAAGTGATTGATTCTGGGTTCCAGTCTCAATCGTAACAACATCATTCACTGAGGTTCAGGTACATCCAGGTAACAGGTGATTCCCGAATAGGACAAAAAGTGGATCCCAGATTCCTTTCCTAGTCACCGAGATCAATACGACTACCATAAAATGTTTAGAAACTTGAAACTAAGGTTGGTTTACAAAAACTATATATCTATCAAGATTGAATTCAATCTGTCAACATGCAGAAAAAATGACCATTAGGTTAGATATAAAATCGAGAGAGTAACTAACTTAATGAATGTAAAGGTAGTACTACAAATCGAACATTGCATCATCAGGATAGGATAGTGAGCCAATTAGAGATAAAATCGCATAGATCAATTTCTTTTGAAAACTGCTCTGATGACAAATGAAAGCTTTGTTATATGAATAAACCATCAAGTTCATAGAACGTAACACCACTCCCTTCCATCTCAAAACGCCCAAAAATCACCTTTTCTGCAATGCTATTTTCTCAAATATTCATTATGATAATTAAAAATAATTATAGCAAACAAAGCTCACCAATATATTTAATAGCCATCGACGTGCTCTTGAATGGGCGAAATTGAAAGGATTGAAAAGGAAAAGCGCCATTATTGAAACAAGGGCAAGTGGGGATGCATACGCAGGTGATTGCATCACTTCACTGAATAAGAAATAGATCAATGAGCAACCCCATATCACAGCCAAGAAAAATGAAATCTGTAAAAAAATTTGTAATACAACAGTTTCTTTGATCAGTTATAACAATTTTATTGATTGTATTAAATCTCAGTGGCTCAATAGTAACGTTACGGTAGGAGAATCTGAAGGTCCAGTGTCCGGGCCCTCCTATGGTTATAGGTTCGCACTGCTGAGGAATCCCAAACCAGGACAAAATAGCTGTCCATTGCCCTTAGGTTTCCAATGTTTCTCCAACTGATATTAGTCCATGATGAATACCAACCTGAAGTGAAATATATCTATTTGCTTCAAATAAATTACGGAATGCAGAGGAATTAGAGGTACTATTGTCTTCATAGGATTTATTGGATATTTTTTAAACAGGAGTCTAAGGAAGTATTGTGAAAATTCCATAGATTTGTTAGGGGATGGATACACAAGACTTTTAGGTCACTGATTTACTAACGTGGTTCACTTTTAGGAAAATCGTCACGAACCCGTTTCATGACTTCAAGATATTACAATTCAACCACTGATACATAACAATATCAGCAACTTGTACACATTGATGCAATAAACAGTGAGACATACCTACCATGTGACGGTTAGTGATACTACCTGGCTATCCGTAACCCATTGGTTGATAGTCCTCTCCCGAAACCAATGATCCACAACTCCACTTAGCCACCGAAATAGATACTCGTTTGAGACGTTCATCTATGAGCGAAAGTACCTATTTGCAAATGATTAGACATTACTTCTCATATTCGAAGTAAAATATGTTTAGAGACTTCGCGATCAAAATTTGACTTGATCTAGTTGGATAAGTTGAGCATTGGGTAAATAGATTATGAATCAGATATATTTGTCAAATCCCAATGAAGTAGAAAAAAAATAGACTTTTGACGTTCGCAACGTCATGAAAGTAGCTTCTACAGAGTACAGAACCTTTACAAGTTATCGCACGTCAAAATATTAAACGGGGTTTTACTCTTTAAACGTGCAGGCTTTACTCTCTGAAGAAGAGATTTCCACGAAGTCAAAAAACGTCAAAAATTTATTTTTCTACCTCACTGGAATTTTACAAATATATTTCATTGATATGTTTACTGAGAAAATTGCCTAAAAAGTGCTTTTGACTGTAGCAATCAAAAACAGGAGTTAGATTTTTGCCCATTATCTGATTTAACTGCATGAATATAAGATATTAACCCATCACCCGCCCACGCCCACTGTCTAAACATCATCCGAATTATAGATGTACCAGTTTCTTAGACTGTTATGCACTGAGACACTGACGCTGTAATAAGATCTTAAATAATGCTAACACTAGTTTTCTATCCTACATACCCATGATTGGTACTATTGTGATAGTAAAGACAGGTGAATGCAAGTGAATCAGTCTACTAACCAGTAATATGATGAATAAAAATTATTTGAACATACACGTGATATTTATAACACTAATAAAAATAGTACCCATGATGATATGAATTACCTAATTGTCTACAAATCGATTTATCAAGTTACAGGCAAATTCACTCACTTTCTAGCAATTAAATAATAATACTCCTCAGAATGAAGTAGACATTCTGGGTAATAGTTGTTCCTTTGATCCCGTCCCTTACCACTGATAGCTTTTGTCACATCCAACACGAAACAGTGTAGGATATTTTCTGAACGAATAGATTGTTTTTTTCTAATTACTAATATTAATAAACTTCTGAATCTGTGATTTTTGTGATGTAAACTTTTTTCAATCACCATGTAATTTTCACAAAGTTAATAACGGTATCTTTGACTAGCTGCTGTCTCTCAAGTTACTGTTATTTATTTGCATTATTATTGTTATTATTAAACTTGCCTATGACTACAGTTATTCAACTGCATTCTTAATATGATAAATCGACTTATCAGCAGTTATAATTACTATTTTTAGTAGTGTTATTAAATAACGTATGACGCCTGAGGACAAACCTCAAAGCTCGGAACACACCAATACAGATATCAAATATCATACATGTTCAAACTGTTTTGTAGATGATACTAGTTATCAATGAATTTACTTGCATCCATCTGTCTACTGATAGAATATATATATATTTATATATTGCAGTAGTCTGGGAACAATCAGATCACACTGTAGTAGTACTAATCAAAAGATCTCAGCGGTGAATGAAAACGAAACAGCTTTCCCCATAATGGCCTGAAACGCGATCAAAACGAAAATGAATGTTTCATACAATCGGTTCTCTTCAAAAATTTTAGCAAAGCTATAATAAGAAGTTTAGGAGAATACGACGGATTCATTGTATTTCGTCACCTCTCCAATGCATACAGGTTGTAAGTCCATCATATATATATATATATATATATATATATATATATATATATATATATATACCGCCGCATATGATCAAACTGTACTTATTCTTAATAACTTTACCTAGCCAATCTAGTTCAATGTACACATATTAATTATCTACCACAGCCTCTTAAGAGTACTTTAAAAGTGTTCTGAAAGATTAGGTAGCAAACAATTATGCAGAAAGGTGTCTCTATCATAAAATACTTGTACAAATGTGCAGTTTTCATTTATGAAAAATGAATGACTGGTTAAAGGCAAAAATGCAGTCCGACAAGTAGTTTCTCGGTTCATTTTTCTATCGATATTATCAAATTTCGAGATTTCATTGAACACATATATATTGGCAGTTCACTGAGGCCGTAAATACCAGTCTAAGTTGACAGCAGTAAAGTAAGTCAGCAGAGACCTTTAGAAGGTCATCAACTCTAGTCTTTTGTGAAGCTGTTCAACAAATATCCAGGAAACTGAAAGGTTTTACTGACTTTATGGCGACCATCAAGTGGATTGAGGGATAATACACAGCTAAACTAAACAGTAAACCATGATAGATCATTAATGTTTATTGCAGAAAAACTGTCGATCAATAAATGAACAAATTAATTAGGTCAGCATTTTCTCTAACTAGAATAAAGTCATTAAAATTTTTGGTAGTTGAAAAGTTACGTAATTTAGTTTATTTACAGATACAATCAGAAGTTGTATGTACATCGGATATCAGAAAACTGTACACTCTGTAGAAAAGAGAATCAGATATCTCACCAACTTTTGATATCCGCTTATTAAAAATAGGTGTGTTTTCGCAGTGAACGGAAACCAAAAACTTAAATTTGTAATTCATTTTTTATCGGATGGTGTTTACCTCATTCACTTTCAGGAAATTCTTTGGCTAGATACAAGCCAAAGAAAAACTGGCTGCAAAATTATTTCCATCATTAATCGATATCAAGCTGGTACTCATCAAGGACTGGTATCCGTTGGAGAACTATTGTAAAACTAGGAGCACTGGGCAGCTGTTTCGTCCTAGTGTGGGACTCATCAGAAGTGCCCACCCATGATCCCTCCCTCTAGGGATCGAACCCTGGATCTCTAGGTTTCGCAACCAGCACGTTACCATGGAGAGACTGGGGTGGCACCCAGTGGTCTGCGTTTTCTTACTTCTGTCAACTCACGATACAGCACGACCACCCAATGGCTCTTATCGTGCGTTTATCCTGACATGCAACTTCATTAGCCCCACCAGTCCCGACTTCTCATTAAAACTTCTGTAAATCTCATCTCAACGCTTATCACCAACCAGCATCGGACAATAATTCAATCTGGAAGTTTGGGGTGATTTTACTGATTTCAGGTTGATATCCATCGCGACCGATATCAAACCTCCAAATTGATATCAATCAAATAATCGTTGGGAAACAAAGTGAAACCGATATGAAGACTAACATACATACTATATAGGCAGTAATAATTCTACACAACACGAACGACTTTAATATGGAGTATGTAAATATCAAAATTTAACGTTCCACTCCCCTTGTAAGCAAGATCAAATGTATACAAAGATGAATTTTACAGACTGCTCGACCCACTGGTTGATGCGTAACTAATCAATGTGTAGATATTTTTCATCACTGGATTCATCAACTTAAGAACTACTGAAAATCACAGAGCGTACAATAGTCGTTTTTTCTCATTTTGACATACCTAAACAGTAAAACTATCAGCTGTATACAAGACCGAAACCAGAACTATCAGATTACAAGATGATTACCCAGCCAATGTGTGCAAAGGAAGCGATTAATATTTCCTATCAGCCTGTGACAGAATGCTTGTGTCACTTAACTAGTTTTTGAAATATCACTTGGAACGAATGTTAACCCAGGTGCTCTCAACTAATCTCATTCAAAGAAATTTCACAAAGTTGCGACCTTTCAGATCAAACATATGGATAATGAGGGTAGATGTCCATTGATAAAACTCAATAGTAAGGAAGTATGAAACAGCGAATTTCACCCCGTCGGCTGAATGATTATCTCGTGACCTGAAGCTTTGATACCTATCTCCTATGAAACCAAATAGGCTCAGTCTTAAGAGGTTCAAAGTTAGGATTAGATATTGCTAAGTCTCCCGTAGGTTTCCAGGACTTTCAAAATAAAATCAGTTTGTGATAAGAAAAAAGTGGGCTAAAGAAACGATACACTTGTGCTTAAAAATGCGATTCATTGAGAAATAAAGTTTGTACAGCCCATCAAGACATACAAATAGAATTCATAAAACCTTAGTCTTTCTTTTGGGTAATTGACATAGATAAAAATAGATTCGAGGCCTATTTCCCCATCGCTCAATGCTACATAATGAAAGAACTTACGCAAAATGAAATATGATGAAATAGGAAGAAGAATAACTTAGCTTGTTTGCATCACACTACATTACGCTTCATAAATTTTAGTTAGAATTACTCTTAACACTCTTATCATAGTTACAATAATGACTGTAACTATTACAAGCCTCAATTCAAATTCACCTTTCTTTTCATATCTAATCTCACACCCTGGAGACGCTAAACTTCATGAGATTATTACTATGTGAATCAGTATTAGCATACCTATAGCTTTGTAACATGATGTATAAAAAGAGCTGTTTAGTCTTCAAATATCCATTTATTTCTACCACA